CACACACACACACACACATATATATATATATATATATATATATTTATATTTTTTTTTTTTTTTTTGTTTGAGACAGTATCTTATTATGTAGTCCTAGCAGGCCTGGAACTCAAAGATCTGCCTGCCTCTGCATCCTTAGTACTGGGATTAAAGGTCTGACCACCGTGTCCAACTTAATCTTTCGATTTAAATACAAGTTGAACATACTTAATTTAAAAACCTAAAATATGGAATTCTGCTTTGAAATCCAGTAAAATACTGAAAGTTGAAAATTCACACCTGATTTCCTAAGACAAGCCAAAGTCAAAATGGAGGCACACTAAGAATACTATATAAATGTTCCTTTGGGCCATTAGGTGTAAGAATTATGGGATTATTTGAAATGTAAATGAATCTTGTGTTTGTTTTGTTTTTAGTGCTGGAGCTAGAAGCCAGGCCCTTGAACATTACAGATAATTGTTACATCACTAAATTACCATACTTGGACCTTAGGCACAAGATATCTCATTATATACATGCAAATATTAGTGCCCCCCCCCCAAACCTACCCACAGTCAAAATACTTCTAGTCCCAAGAATTTCAAATAAGGGATACTCACCTATAGTTTGACATGATTGGGTTAGCCATATAATGGTTTGAGGACCCAAAGGAGGGACCTTGCATGCTTGTCTTTAGAACTTGTTCATAAATTCTTTACTTGTTGTATAAATCTGTGATTTAAGCCATTGGATTTTGTTTGTTTTGATTAAAATTCTAGTAACTACAATGAAATATGTCCTCTTGGGACTTAAAAACCATATAATCAGTAATAAATTTCATCTTAAGTTAAATTATCATGTCTAGTGCAAACACACATGAATGAAGTCTAATAACATTTTAACTGCTTATTTAACAAAGCAACTGTACTTAAATACATAGGCATACTTTGCAGTCTGCTTTTGTGCATTCTGGGTACACAGACATGCATTCACCTGAGCCCAGGTACCTCACAGCTTTCCCTTTTACCAAGAGAGCTGAGAATCTAGCAACTGTGCTGAAAAGTCATTTGACAGTTGTGACTGACAGCTAAGGTGCCTGCCAACAAGTTTCATAGCAACCGTTTGTTTTCATTGTTGTAGTTTGGAGAGTCTCCAAGTATTTGTGTAGTGGAACTTACGAAATTGAACTACTTGTTCATACTGTATGGGTGGGGGCAGGGGTTGACAGGCAGTGGAAGGAGAAGCATGGAACACTAGATGTATATTGGTGGCTTGTGATTTTTGTTGACTTTGATTTTTCTAAAATTTTGTTCTAGGACCATTTTTCACCTTCTGAATGAACGTTTATGCTTTTTATATTTGTGTGTGTGTGTGTGTGTGTGTGTGTGTGTATGGGGGAATGTCATGGCATTCCTGTGGAGGTCAGAGGACAACTTGAGAGAATTGGCTCTCTCCTTCCACTGTATGGATTTCAGGGATCAAAGTCAGGACATGAGATTTGGTTGTAAATGCTTTTACCCACTGAGCCATCATCCCAGCCCTCTTGTTCTTTCTTTAGTGAACTTTACATGAATATATTTTGATTTCTTTTAATGCCTAATTTCTCTTTGCATATTGTACTTTTGAAACTATTTGTTTTTACTTCATGTGTATGTAAGTGTACCATGTGTGTGCCTGGTTCCTATGGAGATAAGGCATTTGATCTCCTGAAACTGAAATTACAGGTAGTTTTGAGCTGCTGACATATGGGTGTTAGGAGCAGCAATACTCTCAGCTGTGGATCCATCTCTCCAGTCCACTGTTCTTTTGAATTTATAGATTTGTCTGTGTCTTAGAGATTATGTTAGTTGATCATACTTCATTTGAAGTATAGGTAATTGAAACACACAAAAAAATATATGACTTGATCAATACAGAAAATGTTTTTAAAATCTTTATAAGATCAATTTTAATAAACAATGGCTGAATTTATCTTGTTCTTTTTTTTTTTAAACCATAGACATGCCCCAAGTCATATGGAATTAACATTGGTTGGTAAGCCCAGTGATAAAAAGAAAACATGTAATCAGAAAGAAAGCTCCCAAAGGAAAGAAGATCATGAAACGTTACGGAAAAAAGTACTTCCAACAGTTGGTGCTTGGGAATTTGAGCGTGATGATGATGAATACATTAACTTCCTTGAGCTCTTCTTGAGTTACGTTCTTGAAAGAGATCTTTGTTCCAGTGATCCTGGCATTCCATTTCTGACAAGTTTTTCTGGGCACCTCAGAGAACACGAACTTAATTCCTTACTTTTTGATATGCATACATCATTAAAACGACGCCAGAGCAAAACCAGAAGCGAGAGTGTGTATAGAGCTGGTTCTTGCTTTGCTGTTATTCCTGAGTCACATGAATGTGAAAAACTGTTCTCTCTAAACAGCACATGTGCCCAAAATGTAGAAAGCCAGGTGCTTTCAGCTTCAGAACTAGTTAACCAGTCAGCGAGCACTTCAGACAACCTTCTACCTGAAGTCACAGGAAATGAAAGAAAGGCGGGATTGTTTGGCTTAAAACAAAAGCCAATTTATAGAATTCAGGATGATAAAAGAGAGAAACCTTTAATGCAGAGACCATCAAACCAATCCTTTTCCATTCCCAAGTCCATTGACACTGGAGGATACCGTTTCCAAGCAGTTGAGTACAGTGCTGCCAGCCTTCAGGAAGATGTTCCTCTGGCACTTGAGAACATGTTCCGCCATGTTGGGAGACTGGTGGAGTGGATGGTACGATGGTCTGACCGAAGACTCCTCTGTGACTCTGGAGTTACTCAGTCATCCTGTAAATACAGTCCAGTCATTCGTGTAAAGACCTCGACAGCTGCTATTCTTACCTCATTATGGCTTCTGGAGCAACCCTACTGTGCTGCATATAGGACAAAAAATGGCATTATTAAGGTGATTACATTAACCACTTACTACAAATGAAGAAAGGACCATTTTAGTTTAAAACTGTTGTTTGTACTTTAAAGAATCTATTAAAGTAATAGAAAATTAATGACAGTATTGGTTATACTCTGTATCACCCAGTGTAATACAGAGTATCTTTTTCTTAAAGAGATTCCTTTCACTCTTTAATAAAATTACAGTGGCCTGGCCAGTGGCAGTGCACACCTTTAATCCCAGCACTTAGGAGGCGGAGGCAGGTAGATCTCTGAGTTTGAGGCCGGCTTGGTCTACAAAATGAGTTCCAGGACAGCCAGGGCTACACAGACAAAACAAACAAAAACTTCAAAACATTGACAACAACAAAAAAGGAAAATGACAATGAAAGTTCTTTTAGGGAGGCTGTGAAGGTTTTAGGTTTTATGTTGTTTGTACATAATATAAAGGGGAAAAAATGATTTGGTGACATTATTGGTAACATGCTATTGCTGAAGGAGACTCCTAAACAGTAGGGCTTTACTACCAGACCCCGGGTTAGGCACAAAAACCACACCTAAACACCTGTTTTCATAGAGTGATCCTTTATTAAGCATGGTAGGTTGAAGTGGTAGCTTTCTGACTCAAGCAAAAAACAGCAGCAAATGACCTTGCAGGTGACATTCTTAAGAAGGGGAAGTCTGTCAGAATGGGCTAGAATGTGGTTGTAAAGGAGACAGGGAATGACAAGGGAGAAGAGGATAAGGGAAATGGGACAGGGCTATTTGTTCAGGAGGAACAAAGGACTTCCTCTGGATAAAGAGGAGACAGATGTGGCACATAGGAAAATGGTGGTTTATAAGGGTAAAGGGGAAACCCCTTTAGGATACGGTGTTAAATTTTAATTGGGTGCGTTAATCAAGGGGGACTTATGATTGCTGGACTTCAGTAGTCAGCCTCAGGAGGAGGAAGTGGCCAAGTGGCTAGCTTTAGAAATGTAATCTAAGGGATTTTTAGCAAGGCCTGCTAGAGCCATGCTGGCCACACTCAGGCTGGCCAGAGTCCCTTCAGTTATATTTGTATTTTTTCTTTTAAAAAGGTTTCATGTGTTAGTTGATAAAAGACTGGGTTACCCTGTATTTATTACTGAAGTTTTCGTTAAGTGCTTGAAGGGGATGTTTTTACTTACATTCTTGAGACAGAAAAGGTTGGAAAACCTGACCTAGAAAAACATCTGTGGAGGAGTGATGCTGATCAATTAATTAGTTCATCTTTTGATTGTTAATGGCAAAGACCTTCATTTCTAAAACAGTGCTGAAGAAATGTGTGTGTGCGCGCACACATGTGGATACATTAAGTTTTGTGTTTTTTAGTGGATTTTTTCTTTCCTTTTTAATATCAGTTTATGTTATTTTAAGGTATGAAGTTTATGTGAAATGAGGGTACTTTTTTCATGCAACTTGTATTTGTAGGTAAGATATCTGAGTTAGAGAAAATAAATACATTACTTGTATTTTTTTTTAATTTTTCTTATGTGTATGGTTGTTTTGCCTGCATATATGTCTGTGTACTACATACATGCAGCACCCGAGGAGACCAAAAGGTGGTAGATCTTTGAACTGCAGTTACATCAGTCCCAGGTCTTCTGGAAGAGCAGCCATGCTCTTTACAACTGAGCCATTTCTTTAGCCCCAGCACTTGTATTTTTAGGTGCATGTGTTTCTAACACGATGTAATTATGAAATATCTTTCACTCTGTGTTTATGTGTGCAGAGGCCTGAGGTCAACCTTAGGTGTCATTTCTCAAATGCTGTCCACATAGTTTTTTTAGACGATGTCTCGCTGGCCTGGGAAAATTGGCTGGCTGACCAGTGAACCCAGGGATTCTCTCTGTCTGCTCACAGCTGGGATTATAGCTGTGTGCCATCATACCTGGCTTTGTTTCATGAGTTCTAGGGATCACACTTGGGTCCTTGTGCTTACATGGCAAGGAATCTGAGGACAGAGCTACCTCCTCAGTTTTCAAATGTCATTATAATGGCAAACCGAGGGAAATGAGTATGTCCTGCTTTAACTACTGTTGTTTTGTGAACCAAAAGCAGAGTTATCATAGCTTAAATGTGTGGAAGAATGGTTTCTTCTTTGCTTTTGTTTTGTGTTTTCAAGATAGGGTTTCTCTGTGTAACCCTGGCTATCTAGGAACTCACTATAGACCAGGCTGGCCTTGAATTCAGAGATCCACCTGCTTATGCCTCCCAAGTGCTAGGATTAAAGGTGTGCCCCACCACTGCCTGGCTGAAGAATGGTTTCTGTGCTTTATTTAGGAAGTCAAATTTACTTTTTCCAGGTAGATTAAAGAATTGGCCAATGCTTCTAGAAACAAATAATTGGCTATACAAATGCAGTAAATACTTAATGAATGTTGAAGAGAGTTTATCAGCTCTATAAAATATGAATGATTTAAAAGTATATTTTAAAACGTGGTTCAATACTCCTTACATAATTCTATAAATGGTTTCTTTAGGTGCTAGAAAATCATTACCCTGAGTCTCAAGTGGCAGCTGAGGAGGAGAGCAATGCTAATAATGTTGACTCCCCAGTTGCAGTAGCAGTTCAGGCTGGAGCTGATGAGAGAAATGACCAGAATGAATGTTATCAAAGCATCTGGAAGTAAGTCACTATGTGTACCCTCCTTTTCAACAAAGTCTATTGGCTTAAGAGGAAGACTTGGGCTCTTAAAAATGAAAGGAATAACCATTTCTTTGAAGTAGAGGAACAGAAAGCAAGCTTCCTGAAGTACTGTGGCAGTTAATTCATTGTTAACTGTGTTTCTTCCTTATTGACCTAGCATATATCTTCTGAGGGAGGCTTCCTCCTGAAAGACCCCTTATTGGGTCCCTAAAAGGGACACACATGGAAGGCCCCAGGAAGGGAAAATAGTTAAGATCTCTTGGGTAAACTGGGGTGGGGGGAGTAGAAGAGAGGGCATGGGGAATGGGAGCATGGGGAACTGAAAAGGCCCTGAGGGAGGGATGGAGGAGGAGAGCAATGAAAGAGATAGCTCCATAGAGGGAGCCATTATGGGGTTAGGGAGAAGCCTTGTGCTAGAGAAATTCCTAGGAATTCACAAGGATGATCCCAGTTAAGACTCTTAGCAATAGTTGAGAAGGTGTCTGAACGGGCCTTCCCTTATAATCAGATTAGTGACTGCTCTAATTTTCATCATAGAACCTACGTCCAGTAACTAATGGAAGCAGAAATGTAAGACATGTATTTTTAAAAAGACTTAGAAAATATTAAAATGACATTTGTTTATTGCTGAAGAACAAATTAAATGAAAGGAAGCTGTTTGTTTCCAAGAATGGGTTGTAATTTTCAGCACTGCATTTTTGTTAGCAGAATGCCAGCTGAAGCAGAAAATCCTGAAGTGAAAGAAATTGATGATGAGATTATTCCCGTCACTCATAAGGCTGAGAAAGAGTTTGTAGATGTTGTCGAGAATCATTCAGAAGTAGACACATTTACACGGGATGAAATGGATATGCACATCTCAGACTGTGAAGGTCAGTTCATGTAGATCATAATTTCCTTTGGTGTGACTAATACTAAAATAACTCTTTTATTCTTTAATATGTTTTAATATGGCTAGAACTAAAAAATATATTTTATTTTTCAAGACAGGGTTTCTTTGTGCAACAGCCCTGGCTGCCCTGGAACTGGGTCTGTAGAACTCACAGAGATCTTCCTGCCTCTGCCTTCGTAATAATGAGATTAAGGCACGTGCCACCATGCCCTGGTAGAACTAAAATTTAAGTGGTATTTTTTGAAATGCTGAGCATATTAACTTGTACCTTGGTTTTCAGATAAAACCAAGAATGTGCAAGACATTTTAATGTTGGTAGCTGAACCTCTTGCCATGCCTAGGTAGTGATTTAGCCTTTTGATACCTGTGAACCAACTGACCTTCTCCCCAGCTCTGAGCCTCTTCCCCAGCTGTGAACCTCTCCCCAGCTTGAGCTTCTTCCCAGCTGTGAGTCTCTCCATCAGCCTCTCCCTAGCTGTTAGCCTCTCTCGGAAAGAAGGTCTCTCAGGGCTCTCCTGGGACATACTGATGAAGAGGAATTAGTCTTTAGGCGTTTTTTGAAATGTATTTGTAAGGGGTTAGAAAATAGTTTTGTTGCATTGTGTTTTCTGTAATATCCCCTAAACCTTAGAGAGAGAAAAAGCGAAAAGATTATCTTTAAAGGTTGGCATTCTATTCCTTTCTAATCCTTCTAGAAGAACCTTTTGGGAGTCTTAGAGGTCCCAGTGCTGCCATCTGCATGCCAGCGTCAAAGCTCTTACTAGAGGTAAGCCAGTGAACAGCATACATGACCATGCAACTTTAGTGGTGAAATTGCACCTAAGTTGCCTACCCCACTGTACAGTATGGTAAGGCAAAGCTGCTGTCTGCCATAGGTGTGCCGACTTGTAGACTATATACTGAATTGTTTTTCTCTGAGATTATATTGGGTGCACAGTGCTTTCTGACATTGAAATGTTCCATTTCCTGAAGGACTTCAGCAAGTTAGTCAAGAGTGGTGAAAGTGTCCTTGGTTATGAAATATAGTTCTGTGTAGTTTGCAGTTTCTATGTATTATCAAATTTCCATGTGGAATGTTATAGAATATTATTTTGAGATGTGTTACATTTGTTTATGCTGTGGAATATTTGTTTAATGATGCAAAGATGTGCTGCATTCTTTTATGTTGCATTTGTTTAACTCTGTGAAGCTGTGTTACTTTATCTATCTAAAACATCTGGTTGGTCTAATAAAGAGATGAGCGTCCAATAGCAAGGCAGGAGAAAGGATAGGCAGGACTGGCAGGCAGAGAGAATAAATAGGAGGAGAAATCTGGGATTGAGAAAAGAAGGGGCCAACCACACAGCCACACACCTGGACACAGGATAAGGACAGAAAAGATATACAGAAATAGAGAAAGGTAAAAGCCCAGAGGCAAAAGGTAGAAAAAATGGCAAGAAATAAGCCAAGCTAAGGCCAGGCATTCATAAGAAAGAATAAACCTCTGTGTGATTTATTTGGGAGCTGGGTGGCAGGCCCCCCAAAAAGTAAAGAGTAAAAGCAACCAACTAAGGTGGAACATAGGTCTTTCTGCTATTTTTTTTTCTTTTTTTTTTTTTAAATTTCCCCATGTGTCCAGGGCCAGAGTGTAACCCTTCATATGGGATGGGCTCTCAGAGTCCCTTCTTGCACCAGGGAAAAATACTAATTCACCACCAGAGGCCCCCTGGAGTGCAGAGGCCTCCTTATTGACATCCATGTTCAGGGATCAGTCTTGTACTGGCCTCCCCGACAGCATCTGGGGTGGATGTGCTCTCCCTTGTTCAGGTCAACTGTTCCTGTGGGTTTCTCCAACCTGGTACAGACCCCTTCGTTCTTCATTCCTCCCTCTCTTCAACTAAATTCCCGATTTCGGCTCAGTGTATATCTGTGGATGTCTGTCTCTGTTTCCATCAGCCACTGGGTGAGGGCTCTAGGATGGCATAAAGAGAAGTCATCAATCTCATTTTAGGGGAAGGGCTTTTAGGTTATCCTCTCCACCGTTGCCTGGATTGTCAGATCGTGTCATCCTTGTAGGTCTCTGGAGATCTCCCTGGTTCCAGATTCTTCTCGGACCTATAGTGGCTCCCTCTGATATGGTATCTCTCATCCTGCTCTCTCTCCTCTATTCTTCCCCCAACTCAATATTGGAAGAGTGGGGTGCTAGCAGATTCGGGGCAGAAGGGAGCTCCTTCTGCTATTTTTTTATGGTGTGTTTTTTCGTTGTTTTGTTTTAAAGATTTTTTATTTATTGTGCATACAGCATTCTGCTTCCATGTATATCTGCACACCAGAAGAGGGCACCAGATCTCATAACGGATGGTTGTGAGCCACCATGTGGTTGCTGGGAATTGAACTCAGGACCTCTGGAAGAGCAGCCAGTGCTCTTAACCTCTGAGCCATCTCTTCAGCCCTCTTTCTGCTATTTTAACATTTGTTTCAAAAGCATTAGTTTTCCCTCATTTTGTAGTAGTTTTCACAGGTTAATTTACATGTGATTTGTAAAACCTTAGTCTACAGGCAACAACTCATCTTCTATTTTAATAGACTTAGTAGCCCATATTGATGGACTAAAGGCGGTTCATATGTATAAGGACCTGGTCAGAGCAGGACTGAACCTTTTCTGGTTCATTTTGTCACTTGCTTTTTAGATTGATACTTAATGTGAAATTCAAAATACCCAATGGTCATGCCTATGTGTTTCATCTCTTTTCATTGTGGGTATGGGCACTATTGATTTTTAACAGCATTCGGTAGAAGAGGTTCAATGTTCCAGAGGAGAACCATTGACGATGAATGCGGATACAAAATTGACAGAGCAGAAAGGGTAAGGAAAAGAAAGTATGATGTGTGTTTTTGTCATTGTTCTATTGCTGTGAAGAGATGCCATGACCAAGGCAACTCCTATTTAAAAACAAAAGCACTTAACTGGATGTTGCTTACTGTTTCAGAGTCCATGATCACCATGGCACTGGAGCAGTAGTAAGAGCTTCATATCCTGATCCACAGGCAGCAGGCAGAGAGAGAGAGAGAGAGAGAGAGAGAGAGAGAGAGAGAGGGAGAGGGAGAGGGAGAGAGAGAGACACTGTGCCTGGTGTGGACTTTGAAACCTCAAAGTGTGCCTCCAGTGAGATACCTCCTTCAAGGCCACACTTCTCCAATAAGACCACTCCTTCTTACAGTTCCACTAACTGGAGACAAATCATCCAAACATAGCAGCCTGTGGGGACCATTCTCATTCAAACCATAGCAACACGATTATCGCCTTTAAAAAAAAAACAAAGGTTTCAGACATTTTTCATAACTTGTAATATATATTTTATGTTAGTATCATAGCTTTAATTTACAATAGCAGTGAGTTTTTTTCGGTAAATGTTACATTTCTCATAGAAGTAATTTCTTTTTTACCTTTGTCCTCTTATCACTGTCAGCCTTACCAAAATAAATTGTACCTATAAATAGATAAGAGTTTATTCACCTGTTAAGTGGGGAACTGTTTGTCCACACTGATTACATTTTTTTTATTGAATTAAATACAAAAGCATTGTGCATCTTCATACATATGACCTTCACTGTTGGGTTTTAGTCACTGTATTCTGTCTATTAGGGATCTGATGTGCATACTTTGCTGCTGGCACAGGACTGTTTCAGGGAGAGGTGAAAGCGATAGCAGTTTTCATAAGTTGTAACTTGAACATGACTTTTAAATTTTTAGAATTTTTGAAAATTTAGGGGCTTGGGGGATATGAGCACAGGACCTGAAGTTCATCGCTAGTGCCATGTGAGAAGCAGGGTATGGTGGTGGGTGCTCACAATACTAGTGCTGGCTAAATAGGCAGATCCCTAGTATCTAGTGGGCAACCAGCCTAACCTAATTGTGGAGACCCTGCCCCCAAAAGCAGAAGGGACACTGTTACGATAAATCTTTTCTGCCAAAAGCTGCCGAGCCCCACCGCCACGTGCGTGCTTTATGCCAGCCGCCCACCAGAGTTGTGCCCATCACATGGATGGACAAAATAAAGCAGAGACTTTTATTAGGTACAAATGCTGCTTAGCCAATGACTAGGATTTCTCATCTGCTAGTTCAGTCTTAATTATCATAAATCTGTAAATTTTATAAGACTTATCGGACACCTTCCATTGGCATCCTTCCTTGCTGGTGGATCACATTGTGAATCTGGAGGAAGAGCGGAGGGGAAAAGGGACTCCCTTCCTGCTTGTCCTTGCTTAAATATGAGTTTCCTTGCTATGTCACTTCCTGCCTGGATCACCACTTCTCCTACTACATTTCCCAGAATCCTCTTTGACTCCTAGTCCCGTCTAACTTGATGCCTCATTGGCCAAACAGTACTTTCTTCAGCAATCAATAAGATGAACATACACAGAAGTACATTCCCCATCAGGACACCTCCTGAAGAAGACACCCAAGGTTGACTTTTGGCCTCCATACATACCCACACCCCTGCTCACATACCATGATGTACAAACTACACACAAACACACAAAGAATTTTAGGATTGCCTTAATATCTCTGTGTGTCTCTGTCTCTCTCTCTCTTTCTGGGAAGAGGAACCTCAGTTGAGAAAACTCTTATCAGATTGCTTGTAGATAAATGTGTAGGGCATTTTATTGATCAGTGTTTGATGCAGGAAGGGCTAGAGTACTGCCTGGGGGTGGGGGTGGGAGGGTACCACTTCTGAGCATTTGGCCCTGAAGAAAGCAAACTGAGTAGACCAGGAGGAGCAAGTCAGTAAGCAGTTTGACTCCTTCATCTCTGTTCAGTTCCTGCCCTGGCTTTCTTCTATGACTGTAACCCTGTGAGGTAAAATGAACCTTTTCCTTGCTAAGTTGGTTTGGTCAGTTTTTATCACAGCAGTAGAAACCTAACTAAAACACTTGACAAGAGAGGTAACATTATACTCTTTTATTCTTCTCAGATCACAGATTTATTTCTTTTTTGAATAGTTAATACAAACCTTTTTGCTTTTGAGATAGGGCCTCACTATGCATACCTGCTGTCCTAGAACTTTATTGTGTGGTCCATGCTAGCCTCAAATTCACAATCTCCATGCTTCCACCTCTCAAGTGCTGGAATCAAAGCATGTGCATCACCCCCAGATGAGGCAGTCTGCCCTTGAGGTGCTATGGATTGTTTCTAGGGCCTTATACATGCTGGACAAGCTCTTTACAAATGAGCCATCTCTTCTTCACTAAAGAATAAATTTAATGAGCTCTGATGCCATTATAATAAATATTAGAGATATTTGTATTCTTAACATTAATCTTGACAGTTTCAAGTATATTAATAGATTCTTTGGTCTGGGTAAAGTGTTCCTTATTCTGTAGAACTGTGGGCCATAGCTAACCTCATGTTCCCTAGGTTCAAATTGTATTTCGTTGCTAAGCTATCAGTGCTGTTCAAGTTGTGTATTGAGTTATGGAGTCTTTGCTATTGTTTTGAATCTAATTACTATGGAGACCAATGTAAACAGATTGTGATTATGAGCTAGGCATTGCAGCACTATTAGACAATTGGGTTCTTAGTTGGCGGAACAGTAGTTCACCTGCACCATAGAAATGTGAAGAATCTCTTGCTCCTAATCACTTATTTTTATTTGTAGTATGATCGAAGCCTTGTCATATTCTGAACATACCATTCCTCATTCACTTTGTAAAGATGCAAATTCAGAAACTTCTAGGTAAGGATTTCTATTTACTGTACCATTTTGAAATCATGTTTTAAAAATAAGAGAATGAGTTGATACCTCCTGTGCCAGTCTGAAATGATTACTAACTGTACTAAAAGCCCAGGAAATAAGCAAAGAGCAGCATAGGCACTGTAGGGAAAAGGATCTAGCCAAAGAAATACACTCTGAGCGGAGCCAAAGAGACACACTTTGACCCAGCAACCAGAACCAAAGAAATGTACCCTGACTCTGAAACTAGTGCCAAAGAAGCATACTTTGTCCCTAGAATCAGAGCCAGTGAAAGAAATACACCCTGGTCCTAAAACTAAAGCCAGAAAGTCAAAAAGACCAGTAAAAGAAACACACTTTGGCCCTGAAACCACAGCCCAATCTGGCCCTAAGCCCATGCAGAAAACTAACCAATCCCTGAACAGAGAACTAGCCAGTCAGTTCAGGGATTCAAATTTGACCAATCCCCGCCCCCTGGAAAAACTTTATAAACCCTGTGTCCACTTGGAACTGTTAGGAGGAGAGAGAATAAAAATCCCTGAAGGAGCTTTGAGTAAAGAACTTCCTTTGCTGCAGAGCAACAGCAGAGAGAGGGGGGCGGACTGGCAGAGGGACAATGGCAGAACAGAGCAAGCAACGTTGTAACATTCTGTCAGGGAAAACATTCCCTTGACGGAGCAGAGTTGTTACACTCTGGGGGGCTGGAGCCGCAGGAGAAGCCCTTTTCTGCCAGAGCAGAGTTGATACACTGGGGAAGCCCCTCTTGAAACAGGGCTGTAAGCTGCTGTGTTTACTGTGACCTGTGGTATTCCTTGGCTCCTGAGCTCCAGGATACCTTTCCAAAAGCTGTATAACACTTATTCTGTGATTCCGAGCCATCCAAAAGGCCTACAGGCACACAGTTTTGACATATCAATTAATTATTACAGATTTTCTTATACCATCTGTCTTTTAAAGACATAGGGAACTATGTTGGGACAATCATTTCAGGCACAAAAATATCAGTATTAGATATATTATTGAAATATTATTGTTCCTGCTCATCTTCTGACCCCTCATAGCATAAGAAATGCTTTTAGCTCATTTTAGTATTCTTTCCTTCATTTTGCACTACTGGGTGTTTAACCTAGAGCCTCAGGCAGGCTAGATAAGCTGTCTACTACTGAGCTATATCTTTAGCTCAGTATTATGCTGGGCCAACCCAGATGAGCTTCTGAGACCAAGTTGAGAGACCAGGCTTCGGGGCTTTAAGATTCAGTTATCTTCAGATTTATCCAGTTTGTCTTTTTAATTCTTCCATAAGGGTTAAACTGAATGCTTAAGAAATTTTGCTGAATTAGAAGGAAACTTCAGTACAATTTTGCTATAGAAACGAACTCACATAATTAGGATTGATCTTGCTAGTTGTTGAAAGTAAAGCCCAATGAAGTTGTATTAAAATTGTCAGCCCAATGAAGTTGTATTAAAATTGTCACATCAATTGTGATGTCTGTTTTCATAGACTTATCATATAAATGCAGTTTTGTGGGGGTTTTTTCTGCTTTTTTTTTATTTCATTTTCTATTCCAACCACAGTTCTCCCTCCCACCCCTCTTACCACCCCAAAGTTTTGATTTTAAGAATGCTCATTAATGAAAGGGAATGAATGTAAGTTCAAATCTACATACAATTTTGTATGTTCTTTTTGGTTTGGAAAGAATGACTAATTTATTTGAATATTATACTTATTCCCTTATTTAGTTTATAAAATGTCTTTGCTTAGAAAATACTGGGAAGGCCAGGTGTGGTGGTGCATGCTTCCTTAATCCTAGCACTTGGTGCAGAGGCAGGCAGGCAGAGCTCTGTGAGGTCAAGACCAGGCTGGTCTACATAATGAGTTCCCTGTCAGCTAGGGCTACATAGAGAGGCCCTATTGAAAGAAAGGAGAAAGAGGGAGGGAGGGAAACAGAGAGCAAGAGAGAATAAAGGAATCATTTTCCAGTAATTGTTTTGTTCAAAGGAGACCAAAGAGCTTGGTTTGGTCTTTAAGTTTTAGCTTAATAAGTATTTTGTTATGATTTATTATAAATGGAAACTCTGGTTTGTTTGGAAATGAAATGTTCACAGTTCTGTGGTTTCATGCTTAATGATCATAAGTCATTTGTGTTGATAAATTTAGAATTAAATTTTTTTTTTTTTTTAGTTTTTCGAGACAGGGTTTCTCTGTGGCTTTGGAGGCTGTCCTGGAACTAGCTCTTGTAGACATCATCGTCTACTCACAGACATCCACATGCCTCTGCCTCCAGAGTGCTGGGATTAAAGGCATGCGCCACCAACGCCCGGCCAGAATTAAACACTTTTTATCCTTTTTTGTTTTCTTAAGTCTATTTTCAATTGTTAATTTTAGTCAACATTTTATTCTAAGTCTGTACAGTTAATAAGGATGATTGTGCAGTGTCTGGCTCAGATCCTTCAGGAGCCAGGTTGGGCTAGCTGTTCTGGGCTGTAACATCACTGGTGGGAAGGATCCGTGCAGACATTCAGATGATGGGTGGATAGCCCAGAATAATCCAAAGACAGAGTGTTGCATATTTAGATGATAGGCATCTAATTGTTTGGGGATTTTTTGTTGTTAATGAATGCGTTTTTTATTAGAATGTTTTCCCACAGTGCACAGAATTCTGAACGTGATGAATCTTCCTCAGTGCTACCTCTCTTGTCGCATGGAGTCCATGCTACTTCACAAACACCTGTTCTAACACCTCAGCCACCTCACAGAAATGAACATGGGGTTCAGTTTCCAGACTCTTCTGGTTCTGTTCGGCAGATGCTCCAAGAAGAGATGTTTAAATTAGTTCAGGTGAGTGTATGGCTATGGAAGTAAGTCTACATGTGAAACGTAGTTTAAAATAGCAGACTAGTCAGAATGAAATTCCATGCATTTCTCTGTTCTTATGAGTCATTGTATGTCATTCAAAATTCCTGCTCTGGACCTATAGTCTAGATACATCTACATATACATATAGTTCAGTAACTTATTTTTCTGGGCATTTTGGGTAAGGTGTTGGGTAGATGAAATCAGATCCCTGAAAGCCTCCAAATGTATTTTCTAGACAAGCTTTCAGACCAAATTTTGGCTTGGACTGAAAGTTTCTGTGGCATTTCAAATGCCTGTTCACTTTGACTTTCACTATCTTTCTGTGCACATTGTTTTCTTTCAACCAATAAATAGTTTTAAATGGTATATCTTTATTTTTATCTTTAATTATGTGTATGTATGTGTGTCTATGTGGAAGTATGTGCATGTGAGTGTAGTTGCCTGTGGAGGCCAGAAGAGAGCATCAGATCCCTTAGAGCTGGGGTTATAGTGAAAGACCCCGAAGAGGCACTTTCGTAGAGGGAGACCCACACACCCAGGAACCAGCGAGGCCACGAACTGGATGTAAAAAACAAGAGGCTTTATTGGAGACGCGGGTACCCGGGGCGACTTAGCTTTTCTGAGGCCAAGCGCGCCGCGCCAAGGGAAAGGCGTCCTTATATAGGGAAAAAGGCGCAAGCTAGGAGCAGGGATTCTATTTGATGGTTCAAATGAGGCACAGAGCCATTCCAGATCAGCATATTCTCAAGGTCTGGTGTCTGGTACAACAGACTTGATTCCTCCCTCCGCGACCAGGTGGCTGACCTTGGGGGCGGAGACCTTGGG